ATTCCATCAAACCCGCCATCCATGTTTGTTGTTTTCAGTTACCCGGGAGATGACCCGCAACTACATCAACGCGCATTAAAAAAAAAAACAAAGCTTACACCCCTTGCAAAAAAATAAATAAATAAATTAAAAAGTTTGGATTATCTCGCAATCTTTGCGAGGGAATGCAAAGTTTTTTTTTTTCTTCCATGTCCCCTTCGGGGCTCCATAGGACGAGTTGGACTGATGGATGTGTTTTTGTTTTTCTTTTTGTTTTTGCTTTAGTTTCACGTCTCTCAGTTTTTACCCTTTTGATTTATAATAACCTTGTGGTGGAATGCGGTCCCGTGCCGTCGTTAATTTGACCGCATTCAAACGATACGCAAGTCGCCATTGGAAAACAAGTTCATGGCTTGTTCGAGTGTCACACTGAGGTTACTCTGTCTCACTTAAGTCGTGTACTGCCAGTTTGTTAGAGTGCTGTTATTAAATTGCCATGCTCTTGTCTGCATGACCTGCCATGAATAAAAAATATGTTTACTGTAAATTGCACACCACCCCTTCTCAAATACCATCTGCCGTCCCGAAATTTGCTGTGCTCACAAACTCTCCAAATAGACCTCCCCCCGATTGGCTCCTGAGGAGACTCGATTCCATATCAGCCTGACAGCCTAATCGCTGTTCACTCTCTTGACTTATTGTCGTTTTCATTTCCTCCGCACAGATATTACACAGTAGGCAGCTTTCTAAAATGCCGAATAGCATATCTTCCTTTTGAGCGAGCATATTTAACATCGCGTCGTTGTACAGTCTATTTCAGGTACAGTGGAATGAATTCATTGTGAAGACAATGATGATCGACAGAAATCACCGGCCTCGGTTTCTTCCACTAGTCCATTTTGTAACGTGTATTACCGTCACCTACAAAAATCAAAAGATTCTTATTCACTAACACTGACAATAAAGTTCCTTTTCACATGTCAAACTCAAGGCCCGTGGGCTGAATCCGGTACTTCATTCGAAATTAGGCGGCCCACCAGAGCTGGTGAACATGCTGTACATGGACTAAATAAGTTTATATAACGCAACATACAATTTTACAACAATTGTAAAAGTATTATTCCTGAATATTTATTTCACTTTCAACCACTCGACATGTTCAGTGGCATCAGTGCTATACATACACATATAGTTCTTATTTTTTTCTTTGTATTTTTGCCCTCTATGGACAATAAAAGCGGTATTGTGCTATGACCAAAACATAAATATAAATCTATATAAATAAAACATGAATTGGAATATTTCATATCACACAATTTTTATGCTTTGTCTTTGATTTAAAGATGAAAATACGCAAAAATCTACAAAAATTGTAGAAATTGTAACACATGGGGTAACCCATGTGTTACAAAAATCGTAGAAATTGTAACTCATGGGGTAAATTACATATGTCAACTAAAGTGCAATCACATTCGTAAATGAATGCCTTCTGGTTTTTGAAATGTAAATTACATCATAACTTCTCAGCTGACGGTTAACCTGGCCGATCTTGGACCCACTTTTCTCCAGTTTGTCGCTACGTTTCTCCATTTTCTGTTATCTCTTCTATTATTTTCTTCTCTTTTCTTTCTGACTGCTATTTTTTATTTTTACTTCTTCGTGCTACCGCTATTTTTATTTTTATTCTTCGTGACAGGGGTTCACTTTGGCCTGGGGAGTCAAGTTCAGCATTCGCTTCAATGATATCTGGCGCCATCTAGCGTCGTGAATGGGTATAACGTCTAGACCCGAATATAAGACGACCCCCACTTTTTCAGTCTTATTTCAATGCAAAAAACACCGTCTTATATTCGGGCCAATACGGTACGTTAACAATTGTGCATTTTACTCATCTAAACGTACTCCTATTTACTGTATGTTATCCAGTCCTAGATTAAAGTATATGGTCAAACGTTGAATCTGAGTAAGTCTGTGCTCAAAGGCAGTAAATAACACACACACACATCTTCCCCTTATATCATGCCCACATTTTCACTGAATGCGGTTAGACATTGTTTTCAGGGACGGTTGCTTGTTATTGGTCAGCAGGTAAAAAAGTCAAAGACATGACGTCAGCAAAACATAAGTAGAGAAGAATCTGCTGGATCCCAGTCAGCTGGCCGCCGACTTCGGCTCACAGCAGGGGAGCCTCAGTCGGATGGTGCCACATGACTGGAAGGCAAATCATAACCCACCCACACTGTCTGAATGGAAGATGATAAGGCTTCATTAGCATAAGTGTATTTTCTATTTAAATGGCTGCTAAAACAAAAGGGCAGTTGATTATGTTTCCTTCATCAGGATAGCATTGAAGGCGCCCGCTTTGAGAGGAGCCGGGGATTGTTATTGGTGGCAAGACAATGAAATCCCGCTAAGGCAGATGGGAAAAGCTTGACATGAATACAAGGCTGGAAGGACAGATGGATTTTTCCAGGTGGGATCAGCCTGTCCGGCCCCCCACAAAAAGAGCCACGAGACGGATTCACAAAAGAAAGAACCCGACAGTTGGGTCGAGTCTGCGGGCCTTCATCTCAAGAGACAAGAAGCTGGCCACGAGCTCCCTTCACTTTCACAAAAGCCTCCTTCAGCATTGTAAACAAATGTTGACATATTTGACACATTAGACTTACCGCACAGAGCTTTGGCAACATAGGGAGACGCTCATTTCAATCATAGGGGCTTTACAGTGTGTCTCACTGAGCTGCTTTGGGTATACTGCCATGTGCCATTGATGCACTTTGTATGGAAGCACAAGACAAAGCAACACTGACAGTTTAGTCGTAGTAGTTCACATTCAAAAAAAATCCTTTTCAGTTTTTATGTGACATTAAAGCAGTGTTTCTCAATTATTTTCTGTCATGCCCCCCTTGGAAGAAGAAAACATCTCCCCCCCCCACCCCACCCCCGTGCGACTATAATTAGTATCATTTGTCTATAAAAATACACCTCTGCATCAGAATCAAGTCAAGTACAATTTTATTGTCAAATGTGCTACATGTGCAACATACAGCACAGATGAAATTTCTTCCCTCTCAACAGACAACAGAAAACAAGAATATATCCTTCTGAACGTATAAGAGAATAAAAAAAGAAATATGGACCAACTTACAACAAAGAATAGCTTCATTAATTGTAACAGCATAGATTAGAGCTACAGCAAATCACAGCTCACTTTGGGCTTGACGCCTGGTACATCCTGCACTGGTTGCCAGGCAATTGCAGGCCCTAGAAAATTGTTTTTCCAATTTGTGACAGTGATGTGGAGGGGCCCAAATGAGTATTGGAATAGATTACTAAATCCCTGGCAGCCCACGATACAGAATTCCGTATTTTTGCTTAAACTGTAAAATTCGACCAAAGTTAAATCAGCGTCATTGCGCTCCTGAGATTGTTTTGTGATTAAACAGTGCCATCTGCTGGGGAACCATCTTCTTGCAAGAGACGTACCGATGATGGAAACACTACGGCAAAGGTTGATCAATTCCTTATTGATTTATTGGCAAGAACTTGGCTGACCAAAAAACAAAAAAAATAAAAAAAAATAAATAAATAAATAAACCCACAGTCGATCACACCTCCAGGCCAAATTACAAGCCACAAGTAACGCTTAGTTTCAGTGAAATCCTGAAAACACTTTTTAAAATTAAAATAACCACAAGTCAAAAATGTTGCCCTTTACTTTATTTCGAATGAAAACAAAATTTATTCTTCAATGTCACCGTTAAAAACACACCTCCACTGAAGTTGCAAAATCGAGTGTCGTATTCATGTTAAGCAGGGTGGTCGGCATCTTCGAAATGTAAATCTCAAAGTAACCTGTCATCTAACTTTTTAAAGTTAGTCATCAGTCAAATTACTTTTTCAAGATAACTGTGGCAACACCGTTTTCGGAAGTCTTCATATCATCATCCACCTTCGATAGTTGATTATTTTTAGCGCAGCTGAAACAGGTCGACTTCAACGAAACATTTTATAGAACAATAAAACCATTTCCTTTCAAAAAAAGTATTTTCTGGAGTGCACAATGGGCCCCTCTGACGCTGCCCGATGGTGTTCTCTCCAAGTCAAGAGAAAAATTTGGGGTGGCGGTGGATTCACTTTTCGTTGTGCTAACTGTGCACACTGAAAGGAGGGCCCTCGACTGCCACCTGCTGGAGACACACAAGAACAGGATCATGACAAACACTAAGGTTTGACAATGCAATTTAGTGGGCGTATATTTAAGAATGTACATAAAGATGTTTTGTGTGTGTGTGTGTGTGTGTGTGTGTGTGTGTGTGTGTGTGTGTGTGTGTGTGTGTGTGAATTTTATTTACCTTAAGAAAATCATCCAGATCAGACATGTGCAAATCGGTAAGCACAGCCTTGTCGGCTTTGAGCAGCTCTTCAGTTTGGGTGAACAACGAGGAGTGCTTGGTGAATGGTGTGCTCACCATGATCTCACAAGAGGCAACACAAGGCACGGTGGAGGTGCACTTATCTGCAGTGCTGATCTTCTGCTCTACTACGCAAGTGTTGCTGCTGGATGCAGCTGCTTCACTGACAAATTGAGCCTCTCTGGCTAGTGCCGACTCCTGAACAGCAATGATTAGGCCGCTGTCTTCCTGAATGAGGCTGGCATGCCTTGAGTCACCTTTCATATTTTCGATACTGTGCTCTGGGGAAATCTCCTCTTTATTTCCCTCAGCGGATATCTGGAAGTGGCCTTCTTTAGGTGGAACTTGCAGACCAGTTTTCTTACTAGACTTAACTTCATCTCGTATCAAGCCGTACAGCTTTGGCTGGAGCTCAATTTCGAACGGCTGCCATTCAGACCTGAAACGTAAAATAACGGGATGAATGTATGATGAGACTCGACATGCATCGCAGACATTCACAGCCTAGTCTCAAAATATTTTATCTTTGACCAATCTACGCCTGTCTCAGAATGCAAAGAGGCAACGGTGCACCTTTAAGATCATTTAGCTGTGAATTTTCAACAGCAGGTTGCTCGAGTGAGCTTAGATGTGGTTGCTACTTGCTCACTGGAAAGTCAAGGGGATACCTGGTTAACTTAGGCTATTTATTTAATGAAATGTCTTTAAAAATATCAGTGCCAAAAGCTACATTTTTTTTTGTGGGTTTTTTTTTTGTTTTTTTTTTTGTTAATGCCCAGGTTTTGACCCTTTCAAAGCGCTCCCACAAAATTTCAAATAAAAAGCCAACAATCGTGTTTTTTGGTGGCAATCTTTTTTTTTTACTTGAAATATTCAACTATTCATAATCATTTTGTGATGGCAAAACTCCATATTTATAATTGTAAATATAGCGATTTAATTTTGGCTATTTGGTGGCCAAGGCTATCACAGGGAGTCTGCCAAACAAAAACTTGGAGTCACATTCTCAACAATCAGCATCCATTTTTATAATGAACACAATTTGTACGGGCACACGCACACAAACACACAAACAGACACACACACACACACACACACACACACACACACACGTGTACACACAAGCAGTGTACGTTTCATGAAAATTTGCTTCCCAAGCACATATTTTGAAAGCTAATTTTCCCCTAGATGTGTATTATTTAATTTTGTGTTTCATCAATTGAATTGCTTTTTATTCTCTTTCATCAATTTCTTTCTTATTTTAAATGCTTTAAAAAAAAGCACCAGTTATTGATAGACTGATATCAAATACATACGGCACATCGTGATTCACCCAGCTCTACTCAGCACATTATTTTTAAAAATGTGCTTATTTAATCTTTATATTGACCGGTTAATTTGACTTCTTCATTGTTATGTTGACCTCAGAAAAAATGGAGACATGGCCGTCACACGAGGTCAACTGAAGAATGGAGGCCTGGGTGTAGTGTCGGACGCCATTTTTGACCTTGGTGTCTCACTCTCCTCCTTTAACTTGGACGACTCTGAGGTGGCTCTTTTACAAGCAGTTATTCTGCTTTCAGCGGGTATGCGGCCGATGTCTGAAAACTTGCAGAGCATAACTTGCCTAAGAATCCCCCAAATACAAATGTGATTCGTCGTTTTGCATTCGACATTTACGTAACAAAATGAAATGTACAATAAAACATTATTCTGCTCTGGTTGCCAGAGAACAACGTTTGCCTCTCTTTCGCAAGTTTCATTAGTTCATGCAACGTGGCTATGTAAAATGGCACTACAGTTGCCTGAAACACGATCGCTCTGTGGTTCCACACTTCCCCCAATTGTGAATAAGACTCCAAGATACAGTCGTACCTCTACTTATGAACATCTCTTCATACGAAATTTTCAAATTATGAAATGCCTCATCAGGAAAATATTGCCTGTTACAAAAGAAATTTTAAGATATGAAAGTATGGGCCGTGACTCACAGCTCCGAGTTTCCTGAACGCAACATACTTATAGCTGCTCTGCCATTGGCTATTACCGAGCATCATCCTGGCATCCCATTGGCTAAGAGGGACTTTGACCGTATGTGTCTGTGTGTGTGTAGATAGATAGATAGATAGATAGATAGATAGGTAGATAGATAGATAGATAGATAGATAGGTAGATAGATAGATAGATAGATAGATAGGTAGATAGATAGATAGATAGATAGATAGGTAGATAGATAGATAGATAGATAGATAGGTAGATAGATAGATAGATAGATAGATAGGTAGATAGATAGATAGATAGATAGATCTGGGTCTATGCAGCGTCCTCGTCATTCGCCCCTCGGGCCATGAGGCGTTCCGATCGTTTTATGTCAATGTGAATCACCCAGAAAGTGTTCACCAGTGTGGGCATCACTCACTATGTTGATGTTTGCCTTGGGCATTTTCGAAGGATTGTTAAAAGCCGACAAAAGCAAACATCTTTGGATATCAGTTCTTTCCAAAACGCGAGGCAAAAGCCACTTCTGAGAGAGAACTAAAGCGGCCAGAAAACGATGAGGACGCAGTTAAAAGTTAAATGACCATTTTTACTGTTTATTCTATTATTTGTTTTTTACATTATGCACAACTCTCATTTATCGTGCAATAATCTAATGGGGGGGGGGGTTGGAACGGATTAGGGCATTTACATGGAAAACGCGTCTCTACTTACATTTTCTAATGAAGAAATCTCTTCGAGAACATACTCATTTCGTCAGTAGAGGTACCACTGTATTTGAATTCCTCCACTTGGGGCACATCTCATTCTTGACCTGAGATGGCACTCCGCATTTTTCTGACTGATAATCGATATAATTTCCATCCATCCATCCATTTTCCGATCGCTTGATCCTCACAAGGGTCGCGGGGGGTGCTCGAGCCTATCCCAGCTGTCTTCGGGCAGTAGGCGGGGGACACCCTGAACCGGTTACCAGCCAATCGCAGGAGACACACATAGACAAATAACCATTCGCGCTCACACGCACACCTAGGGACAATTTGGAGTATTCAATCAGCCTGCCATGCATGTTTTTGGAATTTGGGAGGAAAACCGAGTACCCAGAGAAAACCCACGCAGGCCCAGGGAGAACATGCAAACTCCACACAGGAAGGCCGGAGCTGAAAATGAACCCGGTATCTCTGCACTGTGAGGTCGACGCACGAACCACTGGCCCACCCCGATATAATTTGATCATCATATTTTTCAAACCAAAAGAAAAGCACAAACTGGCATGTACTACAAATAAACTTTCAATTGTTACCTGTTTTACAGTAAAACTCTACAAACTGTTCAATCCGTGGTTTCTCTCCTCAGATCGCCCAGGCCTGAGTTGCGTGGAGCGGATCGAACGCTGCCAAGAGGAGTTTCTGCTGGCTTTTGAACATTACATCAACTACCGCAAACATAAAGTACAGTAAATATTCCCATCCCCGAAATTCTATGAAAAGGAATATCCTTCACCCGGAACAAAAGCCTGTGCATTAACATTTTGACTACGATATTACATGGTACCGGAACTTACGTAAGCGGAAATTCCACTACCCGTAACCCGGATTGAGACGTCATGCCGCGGGAGCTGAAATAAACGCAACGCCCATCCGATGCTACGGAACGACGACACCGAGACACATTTTCACTTCGCGTTTTTCGATCATCAGATTCGAAACGACGACGTGTAAGTGAGTTTTTATTGGCGTGCGTTTTACTGTAATTGTGAATGATTTTAACTTTATTCACTTAACGTCCTGTAGAACGCGGCACTAGCTTAAAAGCAGCACCCACTCGACAGGATCGAAGAAACGTGTTCGCTTCGCCGTTTACATTCATCAGATTCGAAACGAAGACGTGTAAGTGACTTTTTATTGGCGTGCGTTTGACTGCAATTGCGAAAGATTTTAACTTTATTCACTTACGTCGTGTAGAT